AACTCTTCGTCTTCGAACAAGTTTCAACTTCTACCTTCTTGGGTTAGCTCCGAAACACGTGGTCTGCGAGTAATGCAGCTTACAAGTAAGCGCAGCGGAGGAGGTTCACGGGTTTGCGAGTATATCTTTGTTTGTCAGCAGCTACTGAATCTAAATGGCCCAAGATTATGCCAAAATCCTGTGAGGGTGAAATCAAGATAGTAGACAACACATGGAAAGCCGTTTGATTCATGCATTTTTAGAGGTTTTCGCTTTCGGTATTGCACTCGCGACATCTCAATCGTAGACCTTTGCATTTAGATCTGTAGTAGCTTACTCGAGCGAAAGAAGTGATGAAATTCGTCAACGTATTGGTTTGCATTAACTCAATAGGTCAGGAAATTGATCAAATAGCACAGACCATTTCAAAGAAAGTTGAGCGAAAGCATTGAAATCGAACAGCCATTTAGATCAAAAAGGGACACTAAGTATTGAAATGAAGGAGCTCAATACTAAAAGGAACGCAGAGCCGTGAGAGTCTTAGTTTCCTGGATCAGTCGAGTAGATCAATACAATTCACGGAATTCGTGCCGACGTATTGGCTTAACGTAAATCAATACGTCGCTGATCTGCATCATTTCTACGCTTAAGCGAACAAATTTACTCAAATTCCCCCCAGCGTAGATGCATGCAGATCAAGCGACTTCGTAAATAGAGTGGTAGAAGAAAGGAAGAGAAGGCAGACAGTAGTAAACTCATAATAGTAGCGCTAACCTTTTACATAGGTCATCTTTTTCATAAAATCGAGATAGTCATTTACTGTCCCAGGACGACCATCATCATCGTACGCAGCGATCGCCTGCTTCGAACTAAACCAAGTGTTAATATCCCAAATCTTCCCGCTTCGCTTGCCATTCGTAAACATGTGGCCGGGATTACTGAAATCGTATAAGTGGACCTTCGTGTCCACTATTCGTTCCATCGAATCGGGATTCTTGATGGCCAGCTTCGTCGACCGTTCGCGATCCATCAGCAAATAACTACGCTGGTACACCTTGTGGATGTCGAACAGCTCACTTCGACAGTTCCCAGCCAGCGAGACCTTCGCCTTTCGATCCGTATGTGGGAGCTGCACCATCACAATCTGCCCACGAGGTAGCGACTCCAAATTGCAGCCATGTGCTTGCGCGTTGAGTCGACTCCGGTAATCTGTCGTCGCTTTGCGCTGCTCCTGAACAATCAGCTGCCGCTCTTTCCTTCGACGAACAGCCTGATCAAATTGATCCAAAAGATCGTCGCCACCAATGCGCAGGGGCTCCTGCAGCAGCAACTCCGTCGGTGTGAGGTTATCCCGCGCGCCACAGGGCATGTTCCTGAGGTAGTACTGAAACCGTTGGACCTGCTTGTCCCATTCGATCGCTTTCCGAAACGTAAAGAACTTCCGCGAAAACGGATGGACCCTCTCTACCGCCTGCTGCGACTTAGGGTTATACGCTGTTCCCGGTGCGTACTTGGTGTTCGGGAACTCTTTAGCCAGCCAGACGCGGATCTTAGCATTTTCAGCAAAACCGAAACCGTTGTCAGCCCTCAGCACCTTCGGAGGACCAAACTCAAGGAAAATACGCCGACAGATTTTGATCACGGTATCGGTGTCCTTCATCTTCGTCGCTTCGCCCCAGATCCACATGGTCGCACTATCGACACAGGTGAACAGGTGCAAATTGCCGGCGCGTGTAAGTTTGAACGGACCCTGGAAGTCGATGTCATAGATGTCTTTAAACTCGAGACCCGATTCGTTGACCCGCAACGCCGTTCGCTCCGGGGTCCCGTGGTACTCGGTACACTGGAAGCATTTTGCACAGTGCTGCGCGCAATCGTTCCAAATGGTTGGCCACCATACTCCCAAGCGGGTGAGGTGCGCCATCGTTCCAGCAGCCCGAGCATGCTCCGAGTCGTTGTGTGCGTGATCTAGAAAAAACCTTCTTGCAGTCACGCCAGCCGGGTGCTCGTCATTGATTTCCCAAATGCCCTTCGGGATGTACAAACTCCAAACCCCACCACTAAAGACCACGAGCGCGCCTTCGTCGTCGATGCAGTGCGGTCGTAGTAAGCATTCGAGGACGATAGCTCTACGCTCAGCGGTCGGAATTTTGTTGCCCAGCTTCAAGATGATGTCAGCAGTTGCAAAGCCTTGCTTCAGCAGTTCTGCGGCACGCCGTAACAGTGCACACTTTGGATCTCGCTCCTGTAGGCGAATAATCCGTAGGGACCAATCTTGACGCAGCTTCTCGTAAGCATTGACGGACCTCCGCTCGCTACGCGGAACCTTCGGATCGCCAAAAAACGCGAAGAAGTCTGCTCCTGCTACTGGCATAACGTCGCCAACTGCTCCAAACTCCCACGCCTGTCCAGCTACAAACTTATCCGAATAGCGAGCAACGTAGATATTCCGCCAGTCCGGGACGCGAACCCAGTCCGTACCTTCTTCAGGTTCTACTATTTGCGACTGCGAAGGCATTGCCCTATTCGCAAAAAATTTCTTGAAAATTGTAGCGGGGTCGCGGTTCAACTGGTCCGGAGTCAGTTCTTCAGCTAGTTCTTCGATAGCTACAGGCTGCTGCTCGTCTGCAGCCTCTTCTTCGCTCTCTTCCGCGCCTTCCTGCTGCTCTTCCGGATCCTCTTCTTCGTCGCTTGGCACGTACAGACTATCGTCGTCGTCGTCTGTGCTCGCATCTGCAAACTCGTCCGGAACAGAATCATCACCAGCCTCCAAACGAGCTTCTTCAACATTCCCCCCAGGCTGGTGTGATTCAGCTTCAATATTTCCGAAGCGAAAAGAGGAGTAGGTGGCAGGTGGTGAAAAGTCCGGCGCTTTTGGGTCAAACAGCCACGCCAGGATCTGACGAGCTGAAAATGGAAACGGAAGCTCTTCTTTTGTAACTGTCGACGTCTTCACGGAAGGGTGCCGGGAGGCTGCGTCAGCTATGACGTTGATGATGCCACTGATGTACACCCGGTGGATCGCACTACTGTCCAGCTTGTACTTGACTGCCTCGAGCCATCGCAGCACCTTGTCCTGCACGCGCTGATTGCCCACCAGGTCATCAAGTCGGCCAAGGTTTTCGTGGTCAAACATGAGGAAGCTCTCGAGGCCTTCAACATACCGGAAGCCGTCCTCCACGAAGAGTTTCACGGCGGAAAGTTCCTGTTCCAACACTGACCAAGCCTGCTCCGTCTCATTGAAGGAGACACCTTTTACGACGCAGGGGCGTAATGGGCCGCCGGACCGCTCTGCTTGGGCGATCGTGTAGCTCCTACCAAATCGGCTTGCATCGCAGAGGATAACGACTGGCCGGCCGGTATTGCGCCAGTCTCGAGCAGCTTTAAAATCAATCGAGCGAAGCGGGACGTCTACAGCAATACTGTTCTTCAAAGCTTTGACTGCGTGCTGCGCCTCGTTGTCGTGCTGGTACTGGGTGAAGCTCTTCCCATGTTTCTTGGTGTAGGGCGCAAGGGGTCCTCGGTGCCGCTGGTAGTCTGGTATAAACTCACGGAGATAGTTCACAAACGCCAAAAAACTAACCAGGTCGTCCTTACTCTCCAGCTCGGGCCATTGCTTCAACTGTTCAACTTTCCGCGGAGTAGGTTTTCTTCCTTGCTTACTAACTTGAAACCCAAGCACTTCGACCTCCCGTTTGCCGAATACTGACTTCTTCAGCGAGAGCGCAAAGCCTGTCGCGCGGCAGCGTTCGAAGAGTTTACGGGTTCGGACGAGGAAGTCGTCGAAGCTGGAGCCTTTGTACACCAGGTCGTCAATGAAGACGCCGTCGCAAACGTCCTCAAAGACCGACGCTGTCTGTTTCTGAAAAAATGCAGGCGCAGGGGATGGCCCCAAGGGTAGCCGCGTAGGGTAGTAACACCCGTCGGGTCCGACAACGGCCAAAATCTGCTGCATCCGTGTACTCAGCTTCACCTGGTTGTAGCCCATTGCAAGATCACAGCACCCGAAAAACTCGCCCCCCTCCAGGTTGTTGAAGATCTGCAAGGCGTCCGGCATGCGGAAAGCGACGGGCTGCATGTTCTTGTTGTCCGCCCGATAATCCACGACGATCCGTTTCGTCAAGTGGCCACGGCGATCCGCCAAAAACATAGGCGAAACGTGCAACGGGGTCGGCATGGTGTTGTCCACCTTCACCAGCTTGCCCTCGCGAATCTGTTCCCGGACCAAAAAGTCCATCCGAATGCGATCCATAAACGAGAGCGGGTAGGGCGAGAAACATTTCCACTGCGTCTTCTCCTTCATTTCGAAATCAGCCTCGATGGGGTCCCCGGTCTTCGTTTTCAGACGCGGAAATGGGCAGCCGAGGTCGTGTAAGACGTCTGCAAACTCGCCAATCAGCTGCAAGAACTCCTCCCGCTGTTCGTCTGTATCGAACCCAAGACCGTCTTTCCGATACCTCTCTAGTACGACCTGCTTCCATTCTTCACCAGTCGGGTCGTACTGCTTCACTAACTTCTTTTCTTTTTCTTCGATTTCTGCAAGCAATTCTTCGAGCTTATTACTACCGTCTTTTTTCTCTTCTTTCTTCTTGTATTTCGAATTTCCATAATAACAGGGTTGCCGAGCTAGTCAGGCGACTGACTGCAGCAGGGACGCGTCGTTCGAGTCCTTGACCTCCTTCAGGAATGCCTCTGCATCCTGCTCATGCGGGATCGCTTTCAGAGCCTGTCTCATGTCGCGGTCACCTACCGACCCGACCCCGCCGTAAGAGCGAGCCAACGCCTCGCGATCGTCTTGCAAAACGACGCCCGCCTTCTTTGCTTTCTTCTTGATTAGCTCGGCCTCGCGTCGCTGCTTCCGGGGAACGAAGGCCAGGTCTGGAATCATATGCGCGAAGCTCCCAGACTCGGGCAGGAGCGACTGCTTCGGTTCCAAGAAATCCAAATCAAAGGTCACCTGTTTGGGCTTCTTCTTCTGTGCGACGGGAGGGCTCGCAGGAGTATTGGTATAGCTTAAGTCAGTACTTTTGTCATTGGTTTCGCTAGCTGCTGCCTTCAGCGCGTTGTCCTCGTCTGCATGTAGCAGCTTCTCCTCCTTGTCAGGTTTGGGCTTGCCTGACGTATTGGGTTTAGGTAACTCAATACGTCCAGCCGCTTCGTTCTGGTCCGTTTCCAAGGCCTCCACTTGCAATGGCGGGAGCTTGGTCGTTTTCAGCTCGATTACGTCCTCTAGCGCAATCGTACGCACGCGTTGATTCGGGTTGTAGAGGGAAATCGGCATGGTTTCCGGAAAGGAGTTGACGTGCAAAACTGCCGGGCCAGGGTAGAAGGTCAGCCCCTTAGTTTTCACCTGCTCAGAAACGTCAAGGACGTACGCACACTGTGGGTCGGTGACGAGCGGACGGACCACCTCCGCAACATCCACTTCGATCTCCTCCCCCGACGGCACCACCAGCATAGTGCCCATCTTGACGTCTTCGCCCATCTTGATCAGCATCCCGTCAACTCCAAAGCTGTGCAGGTCCTTGGGCACGTTCCGGGCGACCAAATAGGTCGGGGCGCGTTCGAACCCCAGACCAAGCTGCATATACATGGCGTAGCCGCAGGCCATATCTTCGGACAAGTCGGGAACCACCAGAAACTTCACGGCCTGGGACCACGACTTTCCGCCGTTGTTGACCCCCTCGATGGCAATCTGTAGCGTCAGGTACTTGGACTGGATCCGGCGGGTGTGCTGCTTGCGGCCAAACGTGATAACGACGTCGGCAGTCTCCTCGTGCAGAGCTTTATCGCGATGGCGCTCATACATCTCTTGCGAGATGACACTTTGCTGCTGTCGATTCACCAAGCAGCCCGAGTCCTTCTGGCAGCAGACACGGGCGAAGGCCTGACCGTCATGCATCAGGTTGACCATCACATACGGACCATCCTCTCCGGTCTTCATTAAATTCATTTCCGCGCCCTGCTCTCCCTTCAGCTCATCAGCTGGGGCGTTGTTGGGTGATTTCGGCGCCTCGACGTCATTCCCAACACTGGCGACACTAAACTGATTGCATTCGGCGAAGAGCTGACCACTTTCGGTAACCCAGTAGCGGGCAATCATCGACTGCAAATCCTCCTGCAAATTGACACGCACAGCCGTCAAGCCCTCCGGCAGCTTGTACGTAAACCTTTCGGCAGCGATAATCTGGGTGAAGAACTCGTAGTCGTGCAGCCGCAAATTAGAAGCTTTGGCCGAAACAAGCCTGCCTTTTCTCGGGGCATCACGTCCAGTGACATTCAAGACCTCCTTCTGGCACGGGGCGCTCACCTGCGTGAGACGGCCACAAGCCTTTCCGTCTTCGCGAATCGCCCACGATGTCGGTGCACCTTTGCCGGCAGTGATCGTGATCCGCGGGAGATGGGCGTCGTCTTGTCCATCGCCTTCGACGGCTCCGCCCGGTGCTGCCACAGGTTTGACGTCTTCGCCGTTGTCTTCTGTCTCGTTGTCCATATTGCCGAGGGCACCGGCATCGAAGCCACGAAGACCGCCAAACGTCGCCGGTAGCTTGACAAAGGGCACACGGGAGCACCGATCTAACGCATCCGCAAGCGGAATGTGCTCGCCGCGGGTCTTCAGTTGCGCCACCTCCTCGGTGTGCTTCCCGAATTCGGCGGAATTTATGAAGCGAGTCATCTTGGTGCTGCAGCCGCACACGCCCTTCTTGGTCCACACGCTGCACTTACCAGCGTCCCGGCGTCGCCGGAATGCGCTGTTCGGTGCACTCGCCCAAAAGGTCGGACAGCATTCGGCGGCGTCGGGGATGCCAGGGCGTGGCGACTCAGGGACTAAGTGAAACACGTCCTTCTTCTCGGCGTCGCTGCAAGTCGGGCACCGTTTGCTGACGAGCTTTTCGCCGTGGAGCAGCACTTGCGTCTGTTTCTGTTCGGCCATATAGTGCTCCTGTGCCCCATGAGCAACCGCTTCACATTCGTCCTGGTTACTCCCGAAGACCTGGCGGCGACCACCATCCGGGCGGATGGGGTACGGCTGCCCCGCATTTCCGTAGGAGTTCTGCTGGTGGTTTGCCTCTAAATCTGGGTCGATTTCTTCCTCTCGTTGTCCGCCATAGCGGCCAGTCTTCTCAATTTTCGACATGAAGATCTCCTTCCCCTGCTTCTTGTTCGCTGCCGACCGAATCGGCTCGAGTACTTTCTGCAGGCTCAGATGGGCTTCGGGGATGTCGTCGATCTTCGTCTCGACACGGCTGACGACCCACGGCGGCAGCCCGGAGTTGTATAGGACGTGGTTGTTCAGGTCAGACATTTCCTGATTGGTGTCGGCCTGTGTACCGAGCGACCAGTAAAAGTTCTTGAACTTCTTGCGCGCGCGCATCAATTCTTCGAATTCAGCCGTAAAGTTGGAAACGAAGGCAGCAAGCTGGGACGGCTGTCCTCCCTCGCATCTGACCGCTTCCAGGGACTTGCGCTGGAGGTCCAGTTCCTTCAGTGGTTCTAGGCCCACGACCGCCTTCATATCGTCGACCCAATCGCGAGCCGCCGCAGCATGCAGGTCGTCTGTGACAGTCGCTTTGTGGTCACCGATCATGCCGTTGAGGGAATCGCGGACACGTTTCCATGCTGTCAAGGCGGTTCCTGTAGCCAGCGTCTCGAGCTGTGCCCACGCAGTTCCTGGGCGGCGCTGTTTTACCCACGACTTGTAGGCCTTCAACTCCGAGAAGAGCTTTTCCGGGTCTTTCGCCGAAATCTCCAATGTAGCAGCAGCAGGCTTTGCGAAGCCGGCGTCTTGCTCTGCTCCACCACCGTCCGGGCGAGCTAACAGCTTGAGCAAGAGTTCTTCTCCCTTCGTTTCGCGATCCAGCGCACTGTTGTGGATGACAAAGGTCGCGCGGAACTGACCCTTCTCGGTCACTTTCAGGGTCACGGGGGTGCTGCTCCCGAGGCTCGCCTTCATTTTCTTCGCCAGCTTCTGTTTGAAGATTTCCGCTTCCAGGTGCTTCTTCATGTACATTTTCTCGGCAACTACTTCGCCAGCAATGCCCTCGTCCGTGCATTTCAGATCCATGAAAACCATGCACGGAATCTTTAACAGCTTCTCTTTCACCTCCTTCAGTTTCTGACCGTCCTGCTCGTCCTCGCTCAGGTCGTCGAGCACAGCAAGGTAAGAGTCGAAGGTGTTACGGAGCTGACCAGTCTCGAGACGAGTCTCGAGGACAACCTCGGGCAAAACTTCTTCTTCAACATCTTCCGCCTGACCGTCCAGGTCCTCGCTGCCCCAGTCGCCCTGAGCTTCCTGCTGTTGTTCCTCGTTGTGGAGGTTCTGGCGGACGGTTCTGGCGCGGGGACGCCGGGCTCCTTTCTGTTCGCCGTTCGGGTCGTGGAGGACTGCGGTCCCTTCCACGATCTGGGTCCAGTACTTCCTGTCCAAGTCCGCCTTGCTGACCGAGTTCCGCAGACTGATTTGCAAAAATTGGCCGAGTTTTTCTGCATAAGCGTGGCGCGGCACACTAATGAAGCGGGCCCCGTCTGCGTACTCCGCAGTAAAATAAAAACAACTGCCTCTATACCCTACGTAGGTAAACGAGCGACCGTCTTGATGATCATAACCTTCTCCGGGTTTTAGCGTCGGCCCGGCGGCGAAGACGTTCGTCGTTGCCATCTTGACGCGTTGGGTTCGTGGTTGTAGGTGTCTTTCGTGTCGGTGGCGCTATGGAACTCGTCGGGAACGA